GTTATTATGGAGGGTTACAGGGTACCGTCATGACTGTACGTAGTCTGAAAATTTGGGAGTCTAAATACTGCGTATGAGAGTCCCAAAACTTTAAGGTATCCATACCGTGCATCTACCCAGAATACTTTGTGAATCACACTAGATCATAGAGAATGACGTGGATGGTTTTTGAACTGCCAAAAACCTGCATTAAAATTGGACTTAGGGTCTCAAATTTTGCAGACCTGTGACATGCTTGCAACTATAGCATTTTGATGTATGTGTTGTGTGGGCATTATTAATATTAGCCAAATGGTGAGTAAAAAAAGTCAGTAGTAATTTTGCATGTTTTGATGCACTCACAGTCCCAGTCTGGACTGTACCGGTAGTTCCAGCGCTCCACAGCAGAGCTAAGTTGGTGTCCTAAACCAAACGACTACCCGAAAACAATATTAGCTCAAAGTGCGTACTCAATTTCACAAATAAAGTCCTGAGAAAAATATACCTGCCGTGCATACGTATCACAAAAGTATGGCAGAGGACGCTCTTTTTGGTTGTAGGCCTATATTGTAGTCAGGGAATTTGCTTTTACCCCCCGCCCTGCAAAGTTTGCAGGGCGAACAAACAGGATGCTGGGAAGGGCTGATGAATTTACACTCTTATTGGATAGATTTTGCGTGACCTTTGACCTGCAAGTCATCACAACCACTACCCTGCAAGGTTTCAAATGGCCGTTAAGACAGAGTCATTACTCTTTTATTCTAATTAACAAATGCTTTTTTCCGTTGAAAAGCTAATAATGTATGAAAATCTGTAAACTTATCTGTGCTGTAAATTTTCAGTGTCACTTGCTCAGGCTCCCTTTAAATTCATGAACGGTCATGCATGAATGCATTATGTGAAGCTCAAAATTGTCCACATATGGTCCGGAAAGAAATCACAATCCAGTATGGAATGTGTGCACATGAGAAAGTTTTCGGATAGCATTTGTGTGCATTGGGTAACTGCAGTCTAGTTACTTCCACTGCCATCCCACTTCCTTCACAAGACTCTGTTGTGAAGCTCATCAGCCCTTCCCAGGCAGGCTAGCGCTAGTACTGGCCAGCGCCCTCTTTGCAGGGCCAGTGCCGTACGTGGCGAGCAATTATCAGGGAAAAGAAAATTCACCGGCCGATGTGGAGGGTAATTCTGTCCTCCGTTAAAAGTGTCCGGGGGGACAGAATTACCTAGGTAAAAGTGTCCTCCCCGGCCCGTTAATTCTGTCCCCCCTTCAGGTAATTTTGTCCCCTCCAGTTTTTTTTGTCCCCCTAGTTTTGCAATGCAGAAGGCCAGTTCTCTATATTGTTTTGATGAATTCACTCAGTACAAGTTATACATTTTTTACTTTTGGTCTGCCCTTCATGGAGATGAAAAAAAAATTACTTTTTGGTCTCTTTCTTAGATGTGAAATGTGAACACAATGTTTTGATCGATTCGGAGTACGGTGAAAATACAGCACAAAGTCATGCACTACATACAGTCATAAAAGTAGCCCTATTGATATAACGCCTACTTGCATGACTTGGACTGGTCTGCATTCCCATCGTAGCACATAACGAAATTTCCTATTGGATGACATAACAAAATTTCCTATTGGATGAATTTCCTTCATGTAGCGGGTACACATTATATAAACATGCGATAAATGCTGCCACAAATCTTGCAGCAAATGTAGCTTGAGTAACTCCAGCTGACATGCTCCATATTCATTCACATGTGAATGAATATGGAGCATGTCAGCTGGAGTTACTCAAGCTACAGCAAATGCTGCCTTAATCTTGTGGCAATGCGTGCTCACGAAAACGACACGTATCATCACATGGGCGATACTTGCACGGGGTCACATTTATCAGGGGGCAGGGGGACATATTTACCAGGGAGGGGGCCAGATCTACCAAGGTAAAAGTGTCCCCCAGCCCGGACAGATTTACGGGTCACGAGCCGGTAAATTTGTCCGGGGGACACATTTACCAGGGGGGGACAGAATTACCTGCCACACTAGCCCAGGTGGTAGTCCGAGTAACTTGGACCCAACTTATCGCCTTTTTTAACATTTGGACATGGTCTGGCGATCGCCAGACCATGTCCAAATGTTTAAAAAGGCGATAAGTTGGGTCCAAGTTACTCGGACTACCCAGGTGGACACTCTTTCCTCCCTACGTAACGGAGGGATGCAATGAAGACTTCGTCCAACCTGGGCTACCTGCCACACCAGCTAGACCAACATGCATGCATGACATGACCACAATAAATTTCACAAAGAGCAAAGATTACAAACGGAACATTTAGTCTGTATCCTAACCTACACGACTAACCAAATACAATAGGTCAAAGTGTGCATATTATTAATTTGCATTTCAAAAATAATATTAAATGGTTATTGTTCAAACATTGAGAAATAAACACATGGTTCAAGTCATGACACTCACCTTCCTTGAATAACTGAATTTTGCCGTACTGGCATACAGCACAGGGAGTCACCAAACCAAAATGATAAACAATTGAACAGCGCCCTCTCTACGTACCACTGGCAGTGCAGCTCAGTGGCACGCGGTGCGTACCCGTACCCGACGAAACTTTCGTTGAGCATGGTTCGAGTCATGGGCGTTGCGAGGGGGGGGGGGGGGACGGGGGGCACTTGCCCCCCCCCCCCCCCCCTCCGGAATAGCAAAACAAAAAAAAGGGGGGGGGAAAGAAAAAAAAAAGAAAAGAAAAAGAGGCGCGAAGACAAAGTGGTGTAAATTTAATGAGTGGGGGGGGGGGGGGGAATGTCCCTGCCCCCCTCTAAAACTGATATATCGAGAATGTGTTCAGAAATACAAGCATTTTTTGGCAAATTTTTTTTTGCCCCCGTCTAGAAAAAATCCTGGCGACGCCCATGGTTCGAGTTTGCTTACTGGGACAAACATCAAGAATATAATAATACTTATGGGGTCTTATAAAATCAAACCTTTTGTTTGCGGATATTATTGCCGGAGTTTAACGATCGTGGGAAAGGGGGGGGGGGGTTGAAGGGGCAGATCCAGTAATGTTTGCAGGGGCGCTGCAGGGGGGGGGGGGGGGGGGGTCGTCAGCAAATCTTTGCAAATTTATCAATTTTAGGTGTTTAAAAATAGAAAAAAAAAGACAGGGAGGTGGCCTCCAAAAGGAAAGTGGACACGGATGCTCAACTTCTTTTTTTTTTTACTTCGCCTCACAAGAATTTTTTTTAAAATTTTGTTAGGTTTTTTGGAGGGGGGGGGGGATTCACATGACTTTTAATGAATTTCTATTAACAAAACCAATAATTTGACAGCCCTGAATTCTTTTTACCCCCTCCCCTCCCCTGATCTGTATACCGGGGGGTGTTAAAAAAATATACCTGACCATGTACAAAAAAACTACAAATGAAAACGTACGGTACGTACAATAAATTACGAAAGACTTGGATATTAATTTCATAACTAATCGTTTATTCTTTATTTTTTTGTACATCACATATTACATGACAAGGCATAAATACATAATTTGAGATATTAAAAAATTAATACTGTTTTTACAAATAAAATATTTATACACTTTTTAATTGAAGGAAGAAGATGCCCAAAAAGCAGAGCTCGACAAATAGGAATATTCAATATTTACATGTCGGTGAAGGGCAAAGCACAATATGATGTATATTCATAACCTAACTGGGCAGTGTTTAATAAATTACATGCCTGCCTGACCACCCTGGGTGTGTAACTCAACAAACACAACCCTCTGGTTTTCAATTTTTATTTTGCCATTTTAAGGGGCATTTGGTGCCTTTTAGTGTTTTTTAGTGCCTTTTTGTGGCTTTTTGCTTATTGCTTTTGCATACTCCTGTGCAAAAGTGTGATGTCATTTCAGGCCAAAACCTAGTCTTATATTTTGGTGTTCATGTCTGTAGTAAATTTTCTTCTTTTAGTCATTTGTTGTTAAGTTTGAGTACAGGACAGTGGGCCAATAAGCAAAATTTTACTTACTTTTGGGCATTCAATTTGGAAAGAAAACCCCTATAAGGCCCCCCCCCCCCCAAAAAAATACTCGGTCTCTGGTCAGACCGAAGTTCCGGAACTGATGCGGCGACGCAGGTTTTTCTTATTTGGGTGGCTTATTTGGGTGTACTATTTTGCTTTTTTTGTGTCCTCATGTACATTGGTGTCCTCCATAATTTGCCTTAGTGCCCTTTATCATTTGCCTTGGTGCAATTTCCCCATTCCTTGGTGCTCCATGGTACAAAAATTTGAGGAGATGCGGCAATAGAGGGCACTGTTGTAGCTTCCGTGTTAATTTGAAGAAAAAAAAAGGTTGACGCGCATGATTAAAATCGATGCACGCGCTGACCAACCCGAGTATTTTTTTTTTGGCCTAAAACTGAAGTGTCACCTCAATTTTCATTACAGTAACAGCGACCTCAGTTGTCGCAAAAATATGGACTGATTTTAATGTTAAAAAAAAAATGCACTTTCCAATAACATTAATCAAAAAGCGACGTCAATTTGTTTCATGGAATGTATTTCCAAAGAAACATTCATGTCATAGGCATATTATACCGTCGTGCCTTCATTCATGTCTGTGCATGTGTAAACCATAATGTGTAAAGGCACGTATGTTTACCACAGGTCTGACAAACAGTTTCTCATCAGTGTGCACCCTGTCATGTTTGCGTAGACTAATTTGACGTGTAATGGCTTTACCACAGGTCTCATAACTAAATGCTTTCTCATCACTGTGTATCCTGTCTTGTTGGCGTAGAATAATTTGCTGTGCACATGCTTTACCACAGGTCTCTTAGACCCCCTTTACACTGGGCTACGACCTTTGGGCCTCCCTTGTGCGACCATAAAACTGGCCAGGTCGCCGTTGGAGGCTCAAAGGAGGCCGAATGGATGCCTAGGTCGTTCAAAGGTGGCACACGGGATGTTCAGACATTGCCATGGACGCCATGATCGCCGTAAATTTTTGAACATTTTTTTTTCTTCAAAACAGTCGCACAAAGGTCGCCGAGGAGGTTGGTTGCTCAAAGGTGGCTCAATGAGGCAGAAGGGAGGCACAAGCATTGCCATGGTTGCAGAATGGATGCACTAATGGTCGGCCAATGGTCGCCACGTCATAGATCCGTTCTATTGCAAATTTTACCGTCAATCTGGGCGATGCTTCTGCCTCCCTTGTGCCTCAAGGGTCGTCTAGGAGGGAGAAGCAAGGCTGAATGGTCCACCAGTGATCGCCGTTAGTTGCCGTTGGTTGTCGATGAGGCACAGAGGAGGCTCAATGGTTGCCCAAACATTGCTCAGGGGTCGCCTATGTTGCCTATAATCACGTTGGTTGCCGTAGGTTGCACAAGGGAAGCACAGGGGAGGCAGGCAAGTGGCTCAGTGGACGCACAGGTTGCTCGTAGCTCGACATGAAATCCCAAAAATTGCAGTTTTGGTGGTTCAAGGGAGGCACACAAGGATTGCTGGAGCAGTTACATAGAAACAGGATTTTCTTGGTTTAGGCGATCACTGAGCGTCCTGGCAATTGTTTGGTCGCTCATAAGTGGTACAAATGTCTCAGCCCTGTGTGAAGGGGGCCTTAAACAAGTGGTATCCTCAACTGTGTGCACTCTGTCATGTAACAGAAGACTACATTTCTTATTAAAGGATTCACCACAGGTCTCACAAACGTACGGTTTCTCACCCGTGTGCACCCTGTCATGTCTGCGTAGATTGCGTTTATCAGTGAAGGCTTTACCGCAGTACCAGATCTCACAAACAAATGGTTTCTCACCTGTGTGCACCCTGTCATGTCTGCGTAGACTACTTTTGTCAGTAAAGGCTTCACCACACGTCTCACAAACAAATGGTTTCTCGCCAGTGTGGACCCTATTATGCTTGCGTAGAGTTCTTTTGTCAGTATAGGCTTTACCACAATTCTCACAAACAAATGGTTTCTCACCAGTGTGTACAATGGTATGTGCTTGAAGATCACCCTGCTGAGTAAAAGCTTTTCCACAGGTCTCACAAACGAATGGCTTCTCACCAGTGTGCACACTGTTATGTCTGTTTAAAATACATCGTGTAGAAAAGGCTTTACGACAGATCTCACAAACAAATGGTTTCTCACCGGAGTGTACCATGTCATGTTGGCGCAGATTACTTTTCGAACTAAAGGCTTTACCACAGGTCTCACAAACAAATGGTTTCTCACCCGTGTGTACTCTCGCATGATTGTGTAGGCTACTTTTCTGTGTAAAGGCTTTTCCACAGGTCTCACAAACATATGGTTTCTCACCAGTGTGCACCTTGTCATGTTGGCGTAGACTACATTTCAGTGTAAAGGTTTTACCACAGGTCTCACAAACAAATGGTTTCTCACCAGTGTGCACCTTTTCATGTGTGCGTAAATAACTTTGACGTGTAAAGGTTTTACCACAAATCTCACAAACAAATGGTTTCTCACCAGAGTGTACCATGTCATGTTCGCTCAGAGCACTTTTCTTACTAAAGACTTTACCACAGGTTTCACAAACAAATGGTTTCTCACCCGTGTGTACTCTCGCATGACTGTGTAGGCTACCTTTCTGTGTAAAGGCTTTTCCACAGGTCTCACAAACATATGGTTTCTCACCAGTGTGCACCTTGTCATGTTGGCGTAGAATACATTTCTGACTAAAGGCTTCACCACAGGTCTCACAAACAAATGGTTTCTCACCAGTGTGCACCCTGTCATGTATGCGCAGATATCTATGGCATGTGTAAGCTTTACCACATGTTTCACAAACAAATAGTTTCTCACCCGTGTGCATTCTTGCATGATTGTGTAGGCTATATTTTCGTGTAAAGGCTTTTCCACAAGTCTCACAAACATATGGTTTCTCGTCAGTGTGCACCCTGTCATGTTTGCGTAGACTTCTTTTCTCAGCAAAGGCCTCGCCACAGATCTCGCAAATGAATGGCTTCTCGTGCACCCTGTCATGTTGCTGTAGGCTACCATTCTGTGCAAAGGCTTTACCACAAACATGTGGTTTCTTACTGGAGAGCAACATGTTTGTAGATTTCTTCAGTCAGAAAAGGCTTTATTATAGGCATCAGAAGCAAATGGTTTCCCACAAGTGGGTCTCCTCTGGTGCTGATTCAGCCCAGAACTTGATCAAAAGGCTTTGTTAAAGAAAGATCACATCAAACTTTTTGTCCTAAGTTTTGAAGTGCGTATCTTGACGGCATACTAAAAATTGCATCAACTTCAGCAGCTATCAGTCTTTACAGAGGGAACTTCAGTGCGCTTGTCGTCTCCAGAAGACTGTGTGGGAAAACACAAACAAAAAGAAACATACTGATTTTACTACTACATTTAAAATGCTGCTTTACCATATACTTTTGATCCTATTTATAATGTGTTTGGTGTTGCACTGAATGAATACTGAATCCTTTTCTTCGATCAGTCATAGACTGTAAAAAATTCAATCTTGTTCCCCTAGTTGCCAAGTTTCTAATTACTCAGGCTAGTCACCAACAGTCAAAGCGTACTTTCAATAGGCGTCCGAGTGACTAGTCGAATTGACATCAACAGACAAAAGCAAGTTCATGTAACTTGCAAGGCGCAGCTGGCTTATCAATCTCTGTACAGTCAAAGTACATTGTAAAGCTAGGTTTCATAACAATCACAACCAGTCATTCCTACTCTATGAAGGCAGGGAGCACTCATCTATTAACCCTCAATCAAAATCCTCCAATTGGCCTCATGGAAAAATAGCATATACACTGTAGCCTCAATCCTGCAAATTCCTTCATTATTTCTTGAATATGGCCCATGGAGGGATGACCACTGCCTGAATCCTGCAAAATCCTGCGGCAGTGACTGTCAATATGTTGAGGCTTGGCCAGTGACATCCTATGGCAGTACAGAAGATTTCAAGCATAATCCAGGCTTTGCATGGCTGAGCAAAAACATCACAAGGTTCGGCCCAAGATCTTGACAATTAAAGTGCATCCTATGAAATCAATAGAGCAATTTTGCCATGTAACCTCTATCAATCCTCCAAGTTCCTCCACTTTGTCAAAGAGGATTTTGAAGGATTCAGGGCGGTAAAACAGTCCCTTTATTTAGGCTGCATGGGCCTTGTTGAAGTTATAAAAGTGTTATTGTTGTTTCTGATTGACTTCAGTGTACATGTACATGTAGTTAGTTCCAATTCATGTTTTAATGTCATTTGCTTAGATTTCAGTTTCTTGAAATACACTCACCACGGCTCAGTTGTATCTGCCCGCCCTTCAGACTTAGTCCGCAGTAAGCGAAGCCTATGTGATCAATACATGTAGGTCTGCAAGATATTTCAGGAAAAAAAAGATCACACCGTATTATTAAAAGGGAATATACATTTCCAAACATCGAAAAATAAAACTACCAAGTTTTTACGAAATACTTTACTAGGATGTTGGTAAATGACAGTCTAAAGCATCCTGTAAAATTATGGCACCTGGTGTCAAGTCATTTTCAAGAAAATGGTATTTTTGTATACATTTCCAACGGTGGTCGGCCGACCAGCGTTGGAAAAACCTAACTATTTTTCAACTACTTGTTACCCAGCTGTCATGTGGTAACGTGACAAACGAGAACACTGTTGTAAGTATGTCTGGTCACTTTGCCAAAATATGTGAAAGTGTTTATTCAAACATCATAATAAACAAACAATGTACAAGAAAAAGGTTAAGTCAGTTTCCTAAATAACAACGCTTTAAATCAGTATGGCCAAAACTATCAAACTTCAGGAGAAACATCACTTTAAAACTAAAGGCCAACTACATGTACTATCTAACCTATAGGAGAAACTTAACTTAATAATCTCATGGCCATAACTACCAGAACTCTTATCTGCCATGTCTTAAAGATAAACACACTACTCAGGCTGGCCAGCACCCTTGTTGCTATAGCAACAGACTTTCCACTGTATGGCTCAACTCCTGCCAAGTCAATGGCCTGGGGCATACTACTGCTCCCCCAGTGCTACCCTTACTGTGTGACAGGTGGTCTTTCCATACTACTACACACAAGCAAGTCATTGTTCTAGCTAGCCTAAGTATTCGCCCTCCACAACGTGGCAAGGCCATGCCTCAGCTTATCTATATACACTCAGTGCTTGCAATGGAAGTTTCCTTGGCTACATGGTGAAACTTTCATTCAATGTTAAAATCTACTAGCACAGTTTACTATAAAATATACATGGTCCAATTCCTTAAATGAATGAAATCCAAGTTATCAACTCCACAAACTTTCACCAAACATTTCTCAAATCCAGGAAACTTAGTGAAACTTTCCATGAATAACTGAAGTGAATAATTAAAGTTCAGTTGCTAAAACTAATCAAACTTATATCATCTTAAATCTCATCCAAAGTTACAAAAAGTGAATATACAAACAATAATGGAAATATCTATAAAGCATCATAAAACAAAGTGCAATCTTGTCAATCGCTAGATAACTTGGCAAAAGAGTAAACTTGACAAATTCAAAGAACAATTTACCTTCAACCAACTGATCAACTCACGTAATTGATTGTATACTCCAAGTAAATGAAAATGTGAACAACAGAAATAAAGGAACCTAGATGTGAATAAAAAGAAAGAAATATTTGTACATACCTATTGGGCAAAGAGAACACTGTTGTATGTCTGGTCACTTTGCCAAAATATGTGAAAGTGACCAGGCACACTCACATGCACTCTGTGTTGTCTTTGGCCAATTCCAATTTTTTATGGGGGTGTTACTTTCTACAAAAACTTCACTCTGGAGGGGTTTTACTACAGAGGGGTTCTACATACTGCTCAAGCTTTACACTTTTTTCAGTCCAAATTTTGTTTGCTATTGGTTACATGTTCATGAACGGGTGCAGGGCAGCTAGACTGGTTCTCTTACCCTACAATTTTCCGGCATCCATAAATTGATCCATTTTATCTTTAGTGGAGTCAGGGAACCAGACTACTTGAACAGTTTTGTTTTTCTTGGTTTTTCCAGCATTTTCGAACACAAAACTTCAAACATGTCAGTGTAACAATATTTGATCTATTATACTAACCCCTCAAATAGTTCATTTTTGAAAATTACAGCAAAAGCCAATGATGTACATTCCCTTTAAGTAGATTTCGTTCCCTTTTTTTTATAATCACTGACATTGGCTTGGGACTTTGGCTTGATTAATTTAAACAAAAAAACGAAACAAAAAAGTCTGAGTACCACTCGCCTTCGGCTTGTGTTATACATTGTAGTTCCAAACTTCCAACAGCCAAATGAACCCGACGTTCAATACTATGTTCCTGAGTCAGGGAACCAGACAGTATTAGATAAGAGTGCTCACATGTAAAACAGGCCAAAAGTGTGTCCGCCAAGCTCATGAATAATCTCAATTTCTTCTATGCCTGCATGAGAGAGTTCTGAAATCCATGGAATTGGATAATTGAAGAGATATGGCCATACAAGTACATGTACCTCTGGCCTGGACTTAGGGCTTCCAATTCAGAGCATTTTAGATGCAATCAGGCCCGAAAGTGATGCTATTTTAGCCAAGTTGTGGAGGGATACCGTACCCCTAGAACTAATAAAACCATGCCCTATAAAAACTCCACAATCACCATTTGAAGCAAATATTTATTACTTTAGCTCTGTGATTACAATTCATTTACGTTTTACTTTTGTACATAGTTTTAACAAATAACAATGATTTTTTTTACCGTATTCGCTCATTCCATGGAGGTAGGAACACACGCAAAGACCACAGATTGAGCGCGCGCGTAGCCTTGCCATAGATGTACGTACACGTACCCATGAAATCTCTCATGAAAAGCGCCCCCTCTCCAGTATAAAGCTAATTAAAGTGGTCAGGGCGATACATTTTTAAAGGGCTCATAATCATATCATATTTTAGGGCAAGAAGAGGCCTTTAGAGTAGAAGTTGGTAGCTAATAGCTATTTTACCTAATTAGGGGGCGCTGAATTCAAAAATGATGGATACCAAGCTGAATTCTGAAATTGAGGGTATTACCGCGAAATTAATAGATAAATGAATAAAAGCATTAATACTACTTTTTATATTTACTGTACATTTTCAAAAAAAAATTATTTCACTCATTTTCACATGCTAAAACAGCTAAAAATAAATATAAACAAAAATTTGACATAAAATTGTAATTTATTTTCAAAGTTGTGGAATGCTCACGGCTTAAAGGGAATACATGTATACAACATTTGCAACATCGAAAAATAAAACTACGATGTTTTTACGAAATACCTTACTAGTTACTAGCATGTTGGTAAAAGACAGTCTAAAGCATCCTGTAAAATTATGGCACCTGGTGTCAAGTCATTTTCAAGAAAATGGTATTTTTGTATACATTTCCAACTGTGGTCGGCCGTTGGAAAAACTATTTTTCAACTACTGCTCCAAATTTACAATTTTTTCAGTCCAAATTTTGTTTGCTATTGGTTATATGTTCATGAACGGGTGCAGGCCAGCTAGACTGGTTCCCTCACCTTACAATTTTCCGACATCTATAAATTGATCCATTTTCTTTAGTGGAGTCAGGGAACCAGACTACTTAAACAATTTTGTTTTTCTTGGCTTTTCAAGCATTTTGAACACAAAACTTCAAACATGTCAGTTAAACAGTATTTGACTAACCCCTCAAATAGTTCATTTCTGAAAATTACAGCAAAAGCCAATGATGTATATTCCCTTTAAGGTGCACCGTTTCTGCCTTTTACACCCCCCAACTTTACAGAGTAATATTTAAGGTTTTTTTGTAAAAGGCAGAAAGAAAACAATGTTACTGAATTCAGGGCAGATGAAAAAGAAAACGACTGTTAAATGAGAGGTGTTCATGATTAAAGAGCATATTTTGTGTAACCGGATCAAGTTCTTCAAGCTGATTTTATTGCATGAAACAACAATAATCTTACAAAACAAAAAGGGGTTGGTATATTGGCTATAAGAAAAGGAAAGAAAGGAAAACAATAATAAGTAAAATGAAAACTTAAACTAAACAAATAATAATCTAAGTCGTTATAACTCACTCTAATAAAGGAAAACATAAACTTGTGTAAAGATCAACTAAAAAAGAGAGTGAATACTTAATGAGTCTTACACTAACACATACTTGTGCTCTTTCTAGCTACTCAAAGAACACAGTCTCCAAAGAGAAAACTATTAAGTCTCAAAACATCAGTGCTCCACTGAATAAACCTGTGGCGATGTGCCAATGATTGTATATCAATTACTGGAACAAACTTAATCGAAACAAAGCAACTTCATCGCTAAAACATCAATATCGATACATGCCATGCTGTGCACTCTTACAGTCCATCGATATATGGCAATTGATAAACTCACTTCCTAAATACCAGCATCACACTCAGCTAAATAACCCTAAGGGGGTTTTACTCCAGAAGACAGTAACATAATCTCTTAAAGGGCCTCATTGTTTCTAGCAGAGCCCAACCACCTGTGGTGACTGATCAAACTAACTGATAAGCAGAGGCACTGCTTGCTGACCTATATACACAAAAGCATAGGCCTGTGGCCACATGGTCTAAACTACTGTAAAAGGTTCAGCCAAAACACCATGCAACTTCCAGCATTTCCAACTTAATAAAATCACAGAAATTAGTTAAAATACAATACACTAAAAATGGAAACTGTCTAAGGTACACTGGCATCATTCAATAATCACTTAAAGATTGAACTTCAACTGACTCAACCAAATCGGTCTCCTCCTTAGTCTCGAATTATTACTAGTAAATCTATGAATTTAATAATCCTAAAGCTACATATATGTAAATATTCATCATCATTAAAATGGTCAGTGAACAAAGTTTATCCACTGCAATGATCGTTGGTCGCAATCGGTTCAAGAAATAATCACAATCAATTTGGAACACAATTCTAAATGCCAGAATTATACTCGACAAACAAAGCAACTTGATTTCCTTAAGTGTCCAGTCAAATTAATCAAAGGTGCAAGGTAGCTCAATCAGGCTAATAATAAACTATCAAGTACCTAATAAAAACAAGAAGACAGAGATGAAACTCACCAATAAGATGCTATGTACTGGAACAAAAGCTAAACAGGTTTGGTGTCTGGATCTGCAGTAGGTCTTCAAGGAACAGTGTTCAGTGGGAAAGTGAGTGGCAAAGTGATCCTATATCTACACTGTGGTCTTGGGTGTACGTGTAGGCCCTAGTCAGCTATGGGAATTGCCCTGGGGCATAAGCTGCCAGACGTCACTACATTCCATTGCGCACTTAAGACAAGGGGGGGGGGAGAGATAGGTTGTGCCCTTCCAAGAGAAAAACTAAACTTAACAACCTGTCCACCAAAGGTGGCTGGTCACATTTGTGAAAAAAATTACAAGTTTTCTAAATACAATGTATTGCTTTCACGATCAACTGGTTCTTTTTGTACAGAAGTTGGTAACATAAATTTGTAGTTATTGTTGAACCTAATTGGGGGGTGCTGAATCCGAAAATGATGGTTACCAAACTTATTTCTTACCTTAAAGTGGTATTATTGCAAATTTAAAGGAGTTAAGGCAGCCCGTTTTTTTAAAATTAATGTACCTGTAGGCCTACATTTTCAAAATTGTTAGCTCATTTCAAGGTGCCGAAACAACTACATATAAATAAATGAATATAACCTCAAAACTGAATTGGCTGATTACACTGAAAGTTGTACTTTAGTTTTAAATGCTCCTATCTATAAGTGCTCTCTCAAAACTTATTTTGTAATACTATGCTGTCAACCAGAAGTCCAGAAGAGAAATTTTTCTTTTGTAAAGGGCAGAACAGATAAGATGTTACCGAGTTTAGGGTAGATAAATATGAACATGATGGATTAAAGGTGGTTTCTTTAAGAGTGTATAGCATTTTCAGATTGCCAGTCCTTACCATTATCAATTCTTTTTAATTTTTAGGTATTTATCACACTTTAATAATGTTCCTTTTGAACTTTCTAATGATCACTCCTGTATAACGATTAATTCTACCAAATGCATTTCTCAGCATATGACATTCAGTGCAATGCCCACACACAACTTTAGTCACCATGAGCATTGCATTCTCATGATTGGTACAACCAAGTTTAGACTTAATCATTGCTGTCAGGTACAATGTACTATTACTCACTCATAGTCACCTTCCTGAGAGTCAAGGAAACCACAAAATGACTTAGTTTTCCCATTCTAAACTTACATGTATTGTTTATTTCAAAGACATCCAGTTTTCCACCAGTATTCAAGTACTGCCCAGTGGGGAGTTCCTCATTGAGTGGTCGGGCACAACCCCACCACTCTTTGGAGTTGTTACGATAAATCTTTCTTTCTTTTATTTTCGTATGGCATGTTTCCACGGGTTTACTTCTAAACGGTTTAAGGTATGAACTTCTAACTTGCAATATATATTGACCGTCAACCCAAGTGATGCATATTACTCTGACGTCATTATGACATCATCGGGTGTCAAATTACGAGTGATTTTAGCTGAAAGAGTGACCAATTACTTTCACCTATAACTCTTGAACTCAATAATCGTTGAAGGTGGTATTCTGTAATCAGATAGACCATTAAGTGCTTAACATTTTTCGTCGGTACGTAAACTCGCTTGACCTTTACTTCCGGGTCTACCGGAAGGTCAAATTTAGGTGAATTCAAAATGAAGACGTTAGCCTGAAATCAAAACAAAGCACAATTTTTTCCGAACGGTTTACGGTATGATCGCAAAACCTTGTGTGAACTTGTACCATGTTTTAAAGATGTTGTAAATTTTGTAACGTCATCATGATGTTGTCAGATATAAATTACAAGCGATCTAAGGGCAATTTTGACAAAATAGTTTGTGTTATAGCTTTTGAACTAAATAAAATAGAATTTTGTGTTCGTTTTTTTCGTGAGGTTGTAGACTATGCCGTGACAAACATTTCGTGTTTCCGGACACAAAACTGCTTGACCTTTACTTCCGATGTTACCTGAAGTGCAATAAAAACTGAATATTACTCAAAAGCGGAAGCATTTTACTACAAACATATATATACTATGAAAGTGTTTAGTGAGAAATGCTCGACACAAGAACAGTGTGATGACGTCATTACCCAGCAAACATTTAGGATGTGGGCCATAACTGGCCCGGTACCCAATGATGGCTTCTCCAATCGGCTGGGCTTTAGTCCAGTTAAGGCTTGCACAGAGGCGTGGAACTGGTCCAGTACATGATGAATAAAACCATTACTGGACCGATTCTGGATCAATACATCATGCCGGAAATAATCCAATACCAATCCGTTACTGGACCAGAGCTGGACCAATACATATGCCAGAATTGGTCCAGTGCCGAGACGTCATTGATCCGGAACTGGGCCAGCATAGTTCCAGAAAAGGGCCAGTTCCGTTTGACCTGGCTCCCATAGGAAAGGGGACATGTAAACCAAAGCGTAAATCATCATGTCTTAGATCTATTGTAAATTGAGTCTTGGGACATGAAGTTGTTTCACGGAATGTATTTCCAAAGAAACAGTCACGTCATATTATACCAGTGTGCCTTCATTCATGTCTGGAAACACATTAACGTGTAAAGGCTCGTATGTTTACCACAGGTCTAACAAACAGTTTCTCATCAGTGTGTACCCTGTCATGTTTGCCTAGACTAAATTGACGTGTAATGGCTTTACCACAGGTTTCACATTTAAATGCTTTCTCACCACTGTGTACAAAGGTATCCTGTCTTGTTGGCATAGCATAATTTGCTGCGTAAACGCTTTACCACAGGTCTCTTACAGAAGTGGTATCCTCACCTGTGTGCACTCTGTCATGTAAGAGAAGACTACATTTCTTATGAAATGATTCACCACAGGTTTCACAAACAAATGGTTTCTCACCCGTGTGTACTCTCGCATGATTGTGTAGGCTACCTTTCTGTGTAAAGGCTTTTCCACAGGTCTCACAAACATACGGTTTCTCACCAGTGTGCACCCTGTCATGTTGGCGTAGACTACATTTCTTACCAAAGGCTTCACCACAGTCTCACAAACAAATGGTTTCTCACCAGTGTGGACCCTATAATGATTGCGTAGAGTACTTTTGTCTGTAAAGGCTTTACCACAGGTCTCACAAACATGTGGTTTCTCACCAGTGTGTACCATGCTATGTGCTCGAAGATGACCTTGCTGAGTAAAAGCTTTACCACAGGTCTCACAAACAAATGGTTTGTCACCAGTGTGCACACTGTCATGTCTGTTTAAAACACCTCGTGTAGAAAAGGCTTTACCGCAGATCTCACAAACAAATGGTTTCTCACCAGAGTGTACCATGTCATGTTGGCGCAGTGCACTTTTCTTACTAAAGACTTTACCACAGGTCTCACAAACGTACGGTTTCTCACCAGTGTGCACCCTGTCATGTTCGCGTAGACTACTTTCATATGTAAAGGCTTTCCCACAGGTCTCGCACACAAACGGTTTGGTTTGAAGATCACATCGTTGAGTCAAGTCTTTCTTACTTGCCTCACTAACAACTGGTTTCTCACCATGGTGTATCCTATCATGTTTGCGTAGACCCCCTTTCTGTGTGAAGGCTTTACCACAGGTCTCACAAACAAATGGTTTCTCGCCAGTGTGTACCATGTCATGTTGGCGCAGACGTCTTTGCTCGGTAAAAGCTTCACCGCAGGTCTCACAAACAAATGGTTTCTCACCAGTGTGCATCCTGTTGTGTGCACGGAGACTTCTTTTCTCAGCAAAGGCTTTACCACACGTCGCGCAAATGAATGGCTTCTCGTGCACCCTGTCATGTTGCTGTAAGCTACCTTTCTGTGCAAAGGCTTTACCACATTTCTCACAAACAAATGGTTTCTCACCTGTATGAACCCTGTCATGTATGCGTGGACTACTTTTCTCAGTAAAGGCTTTACTGCTGGTCTCGCAAACATGTGGTTTCTTACTGGAGAGCAACATGTTTGAAGATTTCTTCAGTCAGAAAAGGCTTTATCATAGGCTTCAGAAGCAAATGGTTTCCCACAAGTGGGCCTCCTCTGGTGCTGATTCAGCCCAGAACTTGATAAAAGGTCACAGAAACATCGCATCAATGCCTACCAGGTTTGGTCTAGTTTTCTGAAGTGCCAATCTTGACGGCATACTAAAAATTGCATCAAATTCTGCAACTATACAGCCCTGCTGAACAGAAGGCTGCAGACTATAAAAGCATCATCACCTGGGCTGGATGTTACGCAGTTGAAGTCTCCCTCCTTGACTGATTTAAAATCTTCTCATTCCAGACAGGACTTTATAGCGCTTGTTGTCACACAAATACTGTGTGGGAAAACACGAACAAAATGAAACATGCTTAAATATTCAGTGCTTTTTTACCATGTACTTTGATCCCATTTACAAAATGTCAGTACAATACGTTTCATGTGCAGTGAATGAATGCTTGAACCTTTTCCTTTGGTCAGTCATAGACTGTAAAAAAATCATTCCTGTATAAGTTAGTTCCTACTCATGTTTTAAAGAGGTTGTGAAATGCTCGAAGACATTTCCGTCATTTTTCGGGCATACATGTATGTAGCCTAAGGTGTGATGAAATGAAAACGACTATTGTTTCTGGCATAAAATGAGTACAAAAGGTACTTTTGAGAGCTGTTTTTCAAGTCCTGTCATGCCTGTTTCGGCCCGAACGTGCAATTTGTGTAAAAGTCGTCATTGCGGGCAGCAAACAAAACACAGTAAATCGTGACGTAATAAACAGGATTCCCGATGCAGAGTAGCATAAACGAGTCCTGTTTATTACGTCACGATTTACTGTGTTTTGTTTGCTGCCCGCAATGACGACTTTTACACAAATTGCACGTTCGGGTAGAAACAGGACCTGAAAAATGGCTCTCAAAAGTACCCTTTGTACTCATTTCATGACAGAAACAATAGTCGTTTTTATTTCATCACACCTTAGGCTACATATACCCAAAAAATGACGGAAATGTCTTCGAGCATTCCACAACCTCTTTAATGTAATTTCCTTAGTTTTGTGTGTCAGTTTCTTGAAATACACTCACCACGGCTCACTTTAATCTGCCTTCAGTCTTCACTTCCACAATGAGCAGAGATGATGTGATCAATACATGTAGGTCTGCAAGATATTTCAGGAAAAAAATCATTCTAAAATCTGAGGTGAGTTATAAAACAAATATGGACTGGCATAATTCTGTCCTTAGTGCTCGTATATGACCCCCTCGGGCCTGTGAGAGACCAGAAGAGGGTCCTATATCCCTCGTTCCTTGGCTCAGGGAAATAGGAACCTCTTCAGGTCACTCACAGTCCCTCAGGGTGCATAGACGTGCACTAGTGACCTCACTGCCAGTCTATATGTGTATAATATTACTTGGTCAGGGAACCAGATGGTTGATCTAGGTCTGCACAAAGAAAAATAGGTCAAAAATCTGTCCGCACGGCTGATGAAATACACACCTCTTGCCCAGATTCGGAGCCTTCAATTCACAGCTTTTGGATGCAATTGGCTGGCGCCAAAGTGGCACTTTTTTTTTAGCCATGTTGTGGAGGGATACCCCTCGAACTGTGGTGCTCAACTGGAGCGCCATAGTTCTAGGGGTAGTCATGGTACACTTCTTGTTCTACTTCTAGAATTAGAAGGCACCTCTCACCGTGTGCCTTCTATTCTAGAGGTAGTCATGGTAGTGGAGGGATCCGTTTCCAAGATAGCTACTTTTCCACTTTCTTTATGTTCTTTGAGAAACATCACTCGTTTACAAGTTTTAGGGGTCATCCTATTTGGGTGAGAGTTTCTCAAAAAGTCTTCGCTATGACAAAAATTGAAAGAAAATGAAAGACTAATGAAAGAATTGTTAATCCTGTTACCGGTAATCATAAGTTTTCTGCAGGCGCGGTTCTACGGGGGGGCTAGGGGGGGCTAGGGGGGGCTGTAGCCCCCCAAAATTGTGTCTAGCCCCCCCAAAATAAATTCCGTAAAAAAAAAATTGCATTAGCAAAAAGAAGGATTGTGATGTACATGCGAACGGTCTCCCCCTAAAGAAGAAATAGCCGTGACAAGGGTGCATAAGTTAATATAGTGTGAATGATTTTAGGATTTTATTGGCGCTCCCCATTGAAAATATGGCATGAGCCACCACCCCCCCCCCCCCCCCCCCCCCCCCCCCCCCCCCCCCCCCCCCCCACCTATTGATTTTCGGAGGCGTAAGTGTCTGGAAAATAATAACCGGTCAACATTTCAGCACGCCTCCCTGAAAAAATTATGGATCCACCGTGCTAGCCCCCAAAAAATATTGGTTCTAGAACCGCGCCTGGTTTTCTGTGCAGCCAGGCTGAACACCTGTGAGAGTTTTGATGAAAAACTTATCTTGTGTTCTTCCTCAAGTTCCTCCACGGTTGAATTATGGGTAACACTGTTGTAATTTGGGTGTAGTCCGAGTAACCTGGACCCAAGTTATCGCCTTTTTAACATTCAGGCATGATATGACAAAATGCACTTGTGTCTAACCTGATCCAGTCTACTCATTATCATAATCAATGCTTCGTGCTCGGTAACGGATTCGCACTAGGGATACGGGGACCATCGAATAAACACTGGGCAAGACCACATCGCATTGTTCAAACACCAGTCGGAAATTTGCTCTACTGCTCGACAAAACTGTGT